GGATCCATGGCGGGGTTTGGGGTGGGTGGTGTGCTGGTGCCTGCTGCGACGGTTGCGATGCTGGTTTGTCCGGATGCGCTTATTACAACCGCTGCGGCGTTGTCGCTGTCGATTCGCACGGTTGGAGGTAGTATCGGGTATTCGATTTACTACAACATTTTCGCGGGGAAGCTGACTGCCAATCTACCAAAGTACACGGCAATGTATGCGGTGCAAGCTGGTTTGCCGCTGGAGAGTGTGGAGGCTTTCGTGGGCTTGTTTCTTACGGAGCCGGAGAAGTTGGCGGAGGCGGGTATTCCGGGTGTTACGCCGCAGGTTATTGAGGGTGCGACGGTGGGGACGAGGTGGGCGTATAGTGAGAGTTTGAAGTATGTTTGGGTAAGTTGATGATTTCTCCAATGGTTGCTCATGTATCACGGAGCTAACTTTGGTGGCATTTAGTTCACGAGCATCGCCTTTGGCAGCATAGCAATCATCTGCACACTCCTCCTCCCCAGCACAAAGAAGTACCAGACGAACCGCGTCGCCGTCCGAATCTGAGAGACTATCTCCGGAATACTTAGGTTCCAATTCATGTCACTTGCTAGTTAACTTCATATTTGTTATATTACCATACGATCAGAGTACACACATACTTATCCCATGAGAAACCCACTCTCCAAAAATGGCTCGTCACATCATAGCAGGTCATAAAGGATGGGGCGTAGAAAAACATCCTCAAGCAAGGTATTCAAAGATAATGAATCTATGGTATAAAGGGGGCTACGCAAAACAGCGAAGTAAAAACCAAACAGACACCTCCTATACACCCAAAGAACCAAGTCTTGCGCGTTTGCATGATTCAGTTCAAGCATGCATCTCATCTCATTCCATCACATTCCATCCATCCCTTTCCTCGTTGAACGTGCCTTGCCACACTTCGCTCCTCCACAGAAAGCGCGACGCCATAAACACCCTTGCATACCACCTTATTCCATCCCATTCCCTCCCATTCCCATCCTATCATTCAATGATACCCACCCAAATCCATCTCGTACTCATACTCCACCCTCTCTACCCTTTCCATATCCCCACTACCACCCCCACCCCCACTACCGCTGATTAAAGAACCAGCTCGTCCTCTTCCCCTTATTCGCATCCCCCCCATCACCGTCCTGCTTCTGCAGATTGCCAATGACAGGGAGGACAGGGCCGTCCGCGACGGGCCCACCACCGCCGCCACGAAGCGGTTTGGCGATACGGGAGCCGACGCCGCCGAAGCCAGCGTAGCTTGCGCCGCCAGCGGGGGAACCGAGACCGCGGGTGGAGCCTGCTTTGGCCGACTCGAGGCGCTCTTTGACGGCTGTGAGTTGGGCTTCGAAGCTGGCAAGGTGTTAGTAGGGGGTTATTAGAATGGGAGAAGGGGTGGGGCAAGTACCGGTGATTCGCAGCTGTGAGCTTCTCCTGGGAGTCTTGCAACAGGCTCTCTAAAGACTGTATCCGCTCATTGCGGGCCATGAGTTTGCGCTCGGCGATGGCGACTTCCTTCTTCAGGGAGCTGTTTTGCTCGACGAGTTGGCGCTGGACGACGGTGAGTTGCTCGAGGTTGCGCTCGAGGAACATCATCTTCTTCTGCTGGGCGCGGTTGTTGGAGGTACGGAGCACGTTGTTATACTGCTCGCGTGTCTCGTCTAGCGAAATCTCAAGCTCGACAACCTGTGGCTTATTAGCAATGCGTCTTCGTTTGAGAAGCTCAGTCTGCTCACTCGTTCACAGCGGTTCTGGAGATCGCGCATGAGGCTCTTCTTCATGTTGTCAAACTCGGCAATCTGCTGTTGCACAGTCTTGCCGTTGATGCCGTTTGCGACACCGTTGGCAATGGCGCCACTCTTAATGCGCTGTTGCAGGCTTTCGTTCTCGGCTTTGAGCTTCTGGTTTTCTTCCAGCATACGCGCAGTATCCTGCTTGAGACTTTCGACAAGTTCGAGGTTGCCTTCTTGTCGGGCAGAGTAGGCGTCGGCGAGGCGTGCCTTGAGCTCCTCCTTGTCTTGCTCCGAGAGGTTACCCTCGAGGAGCTCCTCGTACTGCGTCTGCAAGGTCTCACAGCGTGCCTCCAGTGCTTCGCGGCGCTTGGCATATGTGTTGTCCTCCTCACTGCGGGCAGTAAGGGAGAGTTCGGCCTGTCGTACAATGCCCTGTGTTTCGACAATCTTCTCCCGCAGACCCTTGATCGCATCCGGAGCAATCGCCTCGCCAGCTGCGCTCATGTCGTGGAGTTGGTCTAGCTCCTCAATGATCTTTCGTATCGTGCGCTCGTTGTCACTGAACACCTCGCCGCCGAGATCGAAGCCGGCCATCATTTGTGCCATTGCCTCGGCCTTCTTCCTCTTCTTCTCGTCCATGGCGGCGGAAGTCTCCTTGGCGTTCATCTTTGCGTCCAGGAGCTGTTGCTTGACGTCGTCCAGCTCGGTGGTCAGCTCAGAGTTGGCTTCCTTCAGTCCGTCCATGGTGATTTGCGCCTCCTTGCTCTCAAACTGAATCTTCTCAACCTGCATGCGCATCTCGTTGAGCTCCATGGTGATTCGCTCATTGTCCTTGTTCGTCTTCGCGTCTCGGTCTTTGTAGTATTGGAGCTCCTCTTTCGCAGACTTGAGTTGGTCTTCGGCTTTGGCAAGCTGTGATTCTTTCTCGGCAACCTGGTCCTGGAGTTCGTTCTCTCTTCGCAGAAAATCATCCTTCTCGTCCTTGTCTAGTGGTATGCTGGGTGTACCTGCGCGTTCCAGGTCCATTCGCGAATCAGGTCGTGGCGTTTCCGAATTTCTCACACCTTCCAGTCTCGATGGCGTGCCCGGACGAGGCGTTGTCGCTGGCTTCCTTCCAGATGACGGACTTGTCTCTAGAGGCGGAATCCATTTCTCCTTGGGGACGCTTTCACCTGCACGCCAAACCGAGACTTCGCCCTCAAGCGAACCGATGTATGTTTCGTAGGACGTGACTTGTCCTTGTACCTTCTTGAGCATGGCCTTGAGCTCAGCCGGACTGAGTTCGGCGTTGACCTTGGCCTTGTTCTTGATAGTCTTTGCGCGCATACCGAATCGAAGTGTTCCCAGCGTTTCGGCATCGTTATAACTACTTGGCGAACAGTTGATAATTAGGGTCGTCCGGGAGTTACCACCGAGCGATTCCTGGAGAATACGTGTGAGCTTCGAGTCTCGGTAGGGGATATGTTGCGTTTTGCTGTCGGTCAAGCAGTTGATGACCATGCCCAAGGCACTCAAACTCTTGTTGATCTTCTTTGCTTCCTCCAGCGTCTGTCCACTCGCTCCGGTCTTGCCGACCTTTTCCGAACCAGCCAAATCGACCAAGAAGAGCTGTCCGCTCTTCAATGATCCGGTCTCGACGTTCTTCTGGTTGACCGTTACAACAAAGATGGAATGCGATCGCGAGGATTCGGCGTTCATGTTGGTAGCTGAGACCGCTCGTGCAGATCCACCTCTTCGGAGGACCTCGTAGACTTCTTCCTCGCTCGAAACGTATACTTCCAGCAGACCCTTGACGTAGACTCCCCTGTTCTTCTCTTCGTGCACCGGCAGATTGTCGTTTTGGGGAACCAAAAGATCGCGGATGCGCTCCATGTAGATCTCCATGTAACTGACGCGGACGGTATATTCAATGTTGCTCGGCGATGCCAGAATGCTTGCGAAGATTTGCTGGATGATACGCGGGATGACTCCCTTGCCGACCTCATCGTCCATATCGCTACCCATCATGGTGTACGACTTTCCCGCTCCTGTCTGCCCGTAGGCGAAGACTGTTCCGTTGTATCCATTCAGAATATCGTCGACGGTGGGGCGGATGGAGTAGTCGAAGACGTCGGCCTGGCGGGAGTTCATGTCGAACACGCGATCGAAGGTAAAGGCCCCGGAGGCCTCTTTCGACTAACACACAGCATTAGTGGCTCTACTTCCCATCCCTCGAGCTGGCATGCCGTACCTGGATCGTACATGTGTCGTCGGATTTGAATTCGACTATGGGCTCTCCGCCGCTGGCTATCTCGACCTTGTTCTGCGGGCGGAACCGCGCCACCACTGCAGTCGTACCGTCAGTAACCCGTATACCATGCGTCTCTGTGTCTCGCGTATCGCGGCGCACCTTTGATAGTATTGGAGCCCCTGTCGCCCGTTTTGTTAGCCATGCCACCCCTCTTCGCCGCCATGTTTGAGCTACTCACGACATGGTTGCTGCTGTTCAGGCGGTGCGGCCCAGAGGCCTCGCTCTGTTTGCTTCGCTCGCGCTTCGGGGCAGGTGTTGCTGCAGGCCCGCGGGGAGGTCCTGTTGTGGCACCGTCACGTCTCGCTGTGTCTCGGCGCGTGGGAGGTGGGTAATTACAGGCCCCGCTATGACTATGATTAAGGGGAACTGCTGAAACGGCCACGGAGGCTTCCTGGGGCTCGCCGGGGACTCCTTCGCTGCTCGCGCCAGGAGAAAGTGAGGGGACAACAGCACGGGGGCGCGCGCGGTGAGGGAGACGAGCGATGTTGATGCCGGCCGATTGTCGAGGTGCGGGCTGGGGCTTGTGTTGATACGCCCAGGGTCTGCATGCCCATAGCGCGCCTTCCTCCTCCCCGCCGCCAACGGCCGTGACGCAACCTGCCTGGTCAAAGCATGCTCTGCGCATGTCCCTTTGTGATGACCTCTTTGTCCCGCCTACGTGCATTGCTTCATTGCATTGTAGCAGTTGCAGCAAGATGCCGCTGCATTGTGCCCAAGACAACTAACCAGGATCCCTGCATTAGTGGAGCGACAAAGACAATCACGTTTCTCTACATGATCGGCCATTCCAACGAAAACGGACGTATATTGGCTACGCCACGAACATAGAACCATAGTGAACCAAACTCCACGCCGCAGAGCCTCAAACAAAACGCCCCTGGCTGCCAGTAACAAACATGACATTGTCCCTGTCCCTTGTAACTCCATCCCATGCCGTCGTGTCGTGATATTCGTACCCTAGTCGCCCCTCAGTCCTCCCAGCTCTTCTCCACCGTCTCGCGCACGCGCTTGGTGTACTCCTTGCGGTTCTCTTTGTACAGGTTCGATGCTTCGACATTGGCGGGAGACGAGGTGTTCGGGTCGTTTAGTAGACTGGACCCTTTTAGCATGTGTCGCGCTGTAGCCCACCTAGCTCTACTGTGACGTACCTCTGAATACTGGTCAGGATGGCTGCCACGTCGTACGTGGGCGACCACCGGTTTTGCAGAATGTCCAGACACAGCTCGCCGGTCCCGTATACGTTGGGATGGAACATCTGGCTAATAAACTTGACGCCCGGCGGCTTGTTTGGGTATGCCTCCTCGAAATGCATTATAAGACGGAAGGTCCCGTCTTCGAACGGTGTGTCTGCTGGGCCGATAATAACTGCGTTCCTGTCTATGTGTCAGCAGTCAAGCTCAGACATAGGTTATTGCCGCTGCTGTGTGTCCGAAAGTCGAGAGTGACTGCGAGGCTTCGGTGTCGCGTGCGGGGGAATGCGGTGAGCCGTACCAGGTCATGACATTATCCGCAACTGGAGATGCAGAGACGCCGGCGGGAGGATCAGTTTGCATGCGCTGTTTTTGTCAGTACGATATTCTCTATTGAATTGCGCAAACATCCAGAGCTTGCTGGTGCTGCTCTAGTGGCGTACCTTGAAGTCGCGCATCAGACGGCGGCGGGCTGCAGTAGACATGGTTGTGCGTAGGTGATGGACGGAGCTCGAGGTAGTTGAAGCGGAGTGGGAGGTTGAGGTAGAACAGACACGGTGGATATAGCTACAATCAAGGTTGGTGGTACTGAGTCGCAGACGTAACTGGCACCTTCCGCTGTCGGTCGTTCGGCTTGTGGAGGCAAACGCCACCTCACGTGTATTAAATGTCTACAGTTAGGTTAATTTAATTTCTTTAGTCTAGTAATAGCAACTATAGTATTATCTAAACTATAAGTTTAGAAGATTATATACTTTAGATAAAGATATTACTACTTTAAAGATAGTTAAGTATAAATTTTTACTTTTTCTTTAGTAATACTTTTTTATCTATTAACTTTAAGCTATATATATTAAGCTACTAATACTACTAATACTATATTTAATACTTTAGTTCTTTATAGTTTTTATTAATAAGCTTATACTAGTACTTTAATTAATAAAGTTTTTAAAAACTACTAGTAGAATACTAAGTATACTTAGCTTATTATTAAATATATAAATACTATTAGCTATAATTATATATTTAAAAAGTAATACTATACTATTACTAAAGCTAGAGCTATATATTAATATAGTTATATAAGCTTTAATACTAATTATTAAACTCTAGTCTATAAAAGCTTAGACTAACTTAGCTATAAGTATAAATATCTTAGAATTACTATTATAGCTTAGTAGTAATTTATCTCTAGTCTTTTTAGAATAATATACTTAATTATAGTCTAATATTATATATTTAGTATTTAACTAACTTTATTATTTAATATTTAAATTACTCTACTTTATAATACTTTTATATATACTATTTAGATATAATAAGCTTTAAAGTAGATTTCTTTAGCGTAATATAATATAGTAGTAAGTAAGCTATACTATTATTACGCGTAATAAATAATAACTAAGAAAAATTAGCTTCTATATCTTTAAAAGTAGTAATACTACTTACTAAGAAACTTATAAATTTATTAAAAGCTTTTTTAAGTATTACTAACTTAGCTTTAATTATTAGAGATAGTAATATACTATTAAAGCTTATTTTAAAGCTAACTAGGCTTTTATAAACTACTACTACTAAAAGTAAAAATAAATAAGCTATTTTAACTTATAAACTTAAAAAGTTATATAAGTAGAAATAATTAAAGTATACTTATTAAGATATAGCTTATTTTAAAGAATTAAAGTATAAAATACTTATAAATAACTACTTAGCTTTTAAAGAAAATACTATTTACTATACTTTAGCTTTAAGAAATAAGTTCTAGTTAAACTTAGAAGCTTTATACTTTAAGAACTTAGAAATATTTACTATATATAACTACTTATAGTATAACTACTAAGTATATAATTATAAAACTATTTTTAAAAAAGTACTTTTTACTTTCTTAATAAGTATTTAAAAAGTAGACTTTACTATAAAATTTCTAAATAAAACTACTTACTTTACTTAAAATACTTACTTTTAGAACTATATAAAGCTTAAGGTATTTTAGATATTTATTTAGAAGAAACTTAAAGTAGTTATACTTAATATACTTAGTTTTAAGTTATTATAGTACTTTATAGCTTATAATAAACTTAAGTAAACTAAATAGAAGCTAAATTAGAATTTTAACTCTTTTTTAGTCTACTTTAATATACTTTAAAGTAAACTAAGTAACTACTTAAAAGAGTAGCGCTATATAAACTTTATAAGTACTTTTTTTTTTAATATTTAGAAAGAACTTCTATTTTAAAACTAAGAAAACTATAATATAGTCTTTAAGCTTAATACTTTAGCTTACTACTATTAAAGTAAGATAAAGTATACTACTATACTTTTTAAGTATCTAGCTTATAAAAAAAAGTTTTATAGCTATTAAATTTAGAACTTTTTTTTAGAGCTTTCTTAAACTTAGAAAAAAGCTAAAAAAATAAATTTAGTAAAATCTAACTTATAACTAGCTAAATTAGACTAAAATAGTTTAAAAAACTTTAATATAACTTATTAAAAGTATAATAAAACTAAATACTTTTAAAAAGACTATCTAAAGTTTAAAAAGAACTCTAAAAGCTTATCTAGCTAAGAATTAAGAAAAAATAGTAAATAAAAAAGCTAAAGTTCTTCTTAGCTACTTATATTACTTTAGACCTAGTATTTTAGAACTTAGAACTTTTTTATAATATACTTTACTTTAAGCTAGTAAAGCTACTAATAGTAAAGATATTAATTAGCTAATTAAAGTTTATTAAAGCTCTAGTAAATAGAAGTTTCTAGTTAAATCTTATTTTAGCGTTACTTACTATAAAGTAAAGCTTATTAGTTTACTTTTTACTTAAGCTATTAGTAAATAAAGTAAATAGTAAAGAATTAAAAATTTATAGTACTACTATAGTAACTATAAAAGTAGTAAATTTTTATAAAAAATAAAAAATCTAGAATATTTTATATATTATTATAGAAGTTTATAAGTATTAAGTATACTTAGATCTACTTTAGATAAATATATATTATTTAAAGATTAGCTACTTTATATAAAAGCTACTTTTTTAAAGTACTAAGTTTAAAAATAAAACTATTTATAGAAAGATTATACTAAAAGAAGCTAAAAAGTTTAAGAAAACTATATATAATTCTATAGTAGATATATATAGCTATTTTATTATCTTAATACTCTAGTTTAGCCTAGAAAAGACTAAAAAAAGTAGTTTACTTTTATAATATACTAAGTTTATATACCTTAGATTAGAAAATAACTTAAGAGTTTTTACTAACTATAGTTTATAAAACTTAGCTATTAATCTACTATCTAAAACTATAGCGCTTTATTAGCTATTATATAATTTTTTTAAAATAAAATTAAAGCTTTTATATAAGTATTTAGATAAGTACTTAGTATAAAAGTAAATTAAATATAGTAAGTCTTTAGTAAAGGCGTTTATACTTTTTACTAAAAAGAAAGATAGTAGTATATATTTATATATTAACTATAAGAGCTTTAATAAGATTACTATTAAGAATTAGTACTTCTTACTACTTATTATAGAGTTTTTAGAAAAATTAGCTAGCGCTAAATTCTATACTAAACTTAATACAAAAGAAGCTTACTATAAAGTATATATTAAAAAAAGTAATAAGTAGAAAACTACTTTCTATATAAGATATAGTAGTTTTAAGTATACTATAATATCTTTTAGCCTTATAAATACTTTTACGTAGTTTTAGATCTATATCTATTAAGTTTTTATAAAATTAATTAATATAATCTATATTATATACTTAAATAATATTCTTATCTTTTTTAATACTAAAAAGAAGTATAAAAGCTATATTAAGAAAGTCTTATATAGATTATATAATATAAAGCTATTTTTAAAGCTTCTAAAGTATAAGTAGTATATTTAGTATACTAAGTACTTTAAGTATATAGTTTTCTTTAAAAGAATATAAATTAATAAAAATAAAATTAAGATAATCTAAGAATAGCTTAAACTACGTATAGTATATAAAATTTAGATATTTATTAGCTTTATAAACTACTATAAATAGTTTATTACTAAATTCTTCTAACTTACTCTACTATTAACTAAACTAATTTAAAAAAAGCTAAAAGTAGCTAAAAGTAGCTATATCTAGTAAAGAGAAGAAAGTTAAGTTCTTAATTTTAATAAGAAAGCTAAAAAGGCTTTTTAAAAGCTAAAAACCTTTTTTTTAAGTATTTTTATCTTAACTTACTTTAAGTAAGATAAAAAGACTAAGACTAAAGTAAATATCTTAGATAGCGTAATTATAAGTATATTAAGCTAATATATACTAAATAAAGCTAGAGAGTACTAATAGTGTCTAGTTAACTTCTTTTTATATAAGCTTATTATAGTAAAGTATAATTATAATATATATAACTAAAAGCTACTTATAATAGTTAAGAGCTTAAAGTATTAGTACTAATATCTAAAAAGTATATACTTTAACTTCTAGACTAACTATTAAAACTTAAAATAGTTTATAAAAACTAAAACTTTAAACTATTAATAAGTTAGATTTTATATTATACTATTTAGATTTAATTTTAATATCTACTATAAAGTAGAGTTTACTAACTCTATAAATAAACTCTTTTACTACTTTAACTATATAGTAAAAGCTTAAAAACTTATCTAAAAGTATAATAAAGCTTTTATTTAGCTTATAAGAAATTTTATAACTAATAGTAATAGAACTTTTTTTTTAGTAGCTATAGTATAAACGCGCTCTACTAAGTATACTAAAAAATAATAAAACTTTACTAAAAGTTTAGAGAGCTTTAACTAAGCTAGTAGATATACTATACTAGAGCTCTAAACTTTAAAGAAGCGTAATAAAATAGATTATACTTTTTTAGATACTTTAGATAAATCTAAGTCTAAAGCTAACTAGTCTAGTTTAGATAAAGCTAAAACGCGCTATTATATAGTAAGAATACTAGTAACTACTAAAAAGAAGTTATAAGCTTTTTAAAAATATTATAATAACTTTTTAGTAAACTACTTTAAAATAAGATATACTTTAAAAAAGCTATAAAAGTACTACTTTTAGAAAGATATATATAAGAATATAAAGTAATACTATAAGAATTACTTTATATATAAAAAGTTTACGCTTATAAAGTATAAGCTTTATAGCCTACTATAGTCTTTTCTAATACTTAACTACTTTTAGAAAAAAGTAATAATAGACTTTATTATAGAACTACTATCTAGTATAGTTTCTAGTATAAAGTATAATACTATATTAGTTATTATAGATAGATTAACTAAAATAGCCTATTATATACTAGTATAAGCTAACTA